ACCTAATATTGTTGCCATTTCCCACCTCATAGCTCAAATTATCTCGAAAGTCACTCCATCCTCGTCGGATATACCTCCACAAGCTCACCCCATAAGGACCACGACCGTCAACAGAGCACCAATCCCCCTCCATTACACCATACTTCGCTCCAATGATCTCTCTCCAAAAACTCGCCTTCTCCACTCCAAATCGCCACAGCCACTTGCCTAACAGGGCCTTATTAAACAGAGACAGACTCCTTAATCCAAGCCCCCCATCCTTACAGGAGAACATACCACACTCCACTTGACCAAATGGAGTTTCCTCTTTTCTCCCATTCCTGCCCAAAGAAACTCCCTTTGAATCCTCTCTAATCTACGTGCCACTGTGACAGGAATAGGAAACGACGACAAAAAATAAGTAGGGAGGTTGGAGAAAGTGGACTTGATGAGAGTAAGGCGACCACCCTTTGAAAGGTACATACGCTTCCACCCCGCTAACCTCTTCTCCATCCTTTCAATGATCCCATTCCAAATATGCTTACTTTTAAACCTTGCCCCTAAAGGGAGCCCAAGATACGAAATAGGCATATGCTAAGATAAACGCAAGATTTTATAGAGACATGCTTGTATGTATGCTAAGATAAACGCAAGATTTTCTAGAGACATGCTTGTATGTATGCTAATATAAACGCAAGATTCTTATAGCAAGGATTTAAATGGTATGAAAAAACCCTCAAGAGGCCCGCCTTGAGGCCCGCCTCACTGTGAAGCTCATGTATTATGCCTCGAGGCGGTATTTTTGAGGCTAATCTTGAGAGGCATGCGCCTTATTGAATCTGCTGCACGCCTCAGACCGGCCCATTTGACACATGTTACGGGTTTATGCCACGCATAGGATTGTGATGTATGGGAAGTTGCGACAGTAATTTTTTTTCTTTATTAGATTAAGTACTTGTTTTTTTCAACTATTAATATATTTTGGATTTTGCTTTTTTATTTTTTTTGTTAAAAAATATTCATGATCATTTACTGTTCATTGGAACCATTAGTTATATATTTTTATGTTGTTTTCTCATTTTTCAACTTAAGTTTTTTTGTTTGTGGTGAAGCTTACGCCTCAAAACGTTTTGAGGCTTACGCCTCGGCTCGTGACAAAAAAACGCTTCAGTACCCGTTTACGTTTTTTCAAACTATGAGGATTTTAGAGTAAACTAACACAAAAATATAAAATCATTTTCAGCCTGCCAGTGACATAAACATGCTATTGAGAATTATAAATTTGAACATTTTACCATGAAATGTACAAATTAAATAAAAAAGAAAAAAAAAAATACTTTTAACACATGTTAAAAACCAACTTTGTCTGACTTAAATTAAGCTCCTCTTTATAAACAACTATAAACTCCAAGGATTAATAACTTAATTGTTCAAGCTTGAAAATAGAAAATCATACCAAGAAAAAAGAAAATAACCTTAACTTGCAAATGGAGTAAATAAGCTTAGCTCTACTACAGCAATTATGAACAACTATATAGACCTCAATTATTCAGGTTTTGGAAGAAACCTCTATGTTCACATAAAATTAATTAGTATCACAATTTTCAAAAGCCCCACGGTAAATAACTAAACTACAATCTGATTGACTGATTACGACTTCAATTATCCAAAACTTAAAAATCCAAACTTGTGAAAGCAAATTATTCAAAAACCCTAATTTCCATCGAGCAAGAACGTGTACGCCAGTAACAAACATAAAATACATCTCAATCACTATACATGTATACATACGGAAGAGTACCTGTTGAAGCTGTTCTTCGTAAGTGGATAGGCTGGAAGCGAGTTCTTCAATGCTAACCTCTTCACCTCCGCCGCTTTCCATTTATTTTGTAATTTTATAAATCAAATTCTTCGAATTTAACAGAGACGGAAATTGAAAACTAATGGATTGTTGTTACTAGATAGAAGTAATAAAACTGATTTTCTGAAACAGAGAGAGAGAGAGGGGAAGCCCTTGCGTCGAGGGGCAAAGCCCGTATGACAAAGATCGTGGAAATTGATTAGAAAGGATCGGTTCGATTTCGAAGAGAGAGGGTGAAGAAGGATCAACTTTATACATTTACGTAGAATAGCCTTTTTTTTAATATTCCTTTTGTCTGTGTGTGTCTCCCACTTTTATAGTGAGAAAATGCATAATGTTGACTGCACATTTGAGTTTCGAGCCTGATTGAGCCCCATATTTTTTCCAAATGTCTCGTGGAATAATAATATTTTGATGGAAAATGAATAGTTAAAAAGTGAGGAAAAATTTTGAATTTACGTCTAATATTATTTTATTGAAGAATCTATATTTAAAAATAAGAGAGAGAGAAATATATTTTGGAAATAATGAAAACCAAATAAAGGGTCGACAATGTCAAGATATTCTCATCAAATTAGACAAAGTTTATGAGAAATTTGTTCTCTTTATATACTGTGTCTTCTTTTCTGATTAAATTTCGAAATATAGACATTTTTGTCAAACTAGACAGAATTGACGGGAATTTTTTATCATTTTTAGACACGTCTTCTTCTCTTTTTATACGAATTTGAAGCATCTAGACATTTATGTCAATCAAACTAGAAAACGATGACAGATTGTCAATCCCATTTAGGCACTTAGGATAGGATCCATTTGGTTTGTATTCAATCAAGACTTTTAACGAATTTTTGGAATTTAAAAAATTTAGGGATATTCAATGCAAACTTTTTAAGATTATCTAAAAGTATCGATTTATTTAATTGATGCTTTTATAGACTTTCAAAAATTCTCTAAAAATCGCGGTATATTCAATTAAAATTTTTTAGAAGTCTCTATAAATCTTAGAGTATTTAAATTTTAATGATTTTTAGAGATTTTTATAAAAGTCTCTAAGGTACTAACTTTTAAAAAGATAGTATTAAAATAAAATCTCAAAACTTGTTTCTCATTAATCACAAGATTTT